TTCTGAGACACTGAACAGCTACAACAACATTCTACTGCTGTGGCTTTGATACAGGACTATTACTGTTATTTTCTAAGGACGCTGCTACTGCTGCTGCTGCCGCTGCTGCTGCTGCTGCCGCTGCTGCTGCCGCTGCTGTTGCCGCGGCTTGATACAGGATTATTGCTGCTATTATCTGAGGTTACTGCTGCTGCCGCTACTGCTACTGCTACTGCTGCAACCCACTCTCTCAGAAGCTTATCCTGCTTCTAATGGACGCAGCCCGGCTGAGTGTGCCGCGCTGCGCTGGACTCGCACCTATGCTCCCAGGGTCGCTTCGGCGGTCATGCTTCATCTCTCTACTTAATCTTCTGATTCTATCAGATGCAGCCGGCCGAGTAGCTGCGCTGAGCCGTCAATCGGACTCCTAATCAAAGGCATCCATACCTGTATTCTTCACTCTTCTGATCGCAGGCTCCCCATCATGCTGCCCATCCTGCAGCGGCACTGAACTCCGGCTCATCTTCCAAGTACATGTCTGCCCTCCTCGCAGCATCTTCCTGCTCGCCTTCTATGGCTTCTCTGCATAAGCGTTTCACTACTGCTCGCTCAACCTTCATGCGGTCCGAGACACGGCTTCCCGACCATCCTACTATCCTGATTATCTACTCTCCAACCCAAGATTCTAAGCGTAAGGGCGCCTGCAACATCAATGGCCCTCTCCGATATATCTCTGCCCCTACAGGTCTCCGCTTCTACACGGACGCTGCCCCTTCCGTGGGTTTTGGGGGGTTCTTCCAGGACCATTGGGTTGCCGGGCCGTGGCCGCTACTTTCCACCGGAGCATCTCCTCTGCCCTACACGTGATATTCCCAGTGGTCGTGGCCTGCGCGCTGTGGAATCACACGTGGCAGAGAACATCTTTGTGCTTGTGGTGGAGCATTACACGGACCGCTCTCTTTCACAAACAGAAACAAGTGTGTGGTTATATTGGGCACAAATTCACTATTTCTGGGTTTGGGAAACAACAGCTGGCCTTCTGCTGAAAATGAAGAATGTAAATGTAAAACCAAAAATATAACACAACTATGATGCAAAGAAACTATATAGACATTAATACACATTTTTGGACAGTGGTCATCCTGCACCCTATCTACCAATAGCTCCTATGTGTTTGTTATTGTTGCATTTCCTGTGTTCGAACTGTTTGATTGTCTGATCTGTTAACAACATTGTTGTGATGTAGGGCTATACACACATTGAATTGAAAAATGGAAGGCTGTAGTGCAGTTTCAAGAGTTCAAAATAATGTGGAGCAGATAAGCACTCTGGCAAGGTCCTGGGTTTTGATTCCCATCCCTCTGTGGTCTCTCTACGTGGAGTTTGTATGTTCTCCACATGTATGCACAAGTTCAGACATGACAGTTAAAGCTAGAGGGCCACCCTCACTCAGCCAATCAGCTCTCAAACCAAAGAGTCAAAGAGTGACTCACAGGGCTCTTTCTTACAGGTATAATGTTTTTCCTAATGAGATGACAACGCTCCTGTGGCCTCACCACCTGCAGGAGGATCAGTGAGGGGCTGGTGCTATGTCTACTGGGTGCAGCTCTGATAAAATGGATGGATGGATGGAGATTTGTTCTCAACATTTGATAGTCACTACTCTTTCTGTTGGACTAACTACATGTGTCGATCACAAGACAGAAAAGTTAAGTACCTCATCTATAATTAGTGTTTTGGTTTAATAATGGCTTAGCTGCACCTACTCGGTTCCAACAGCTTTAACTTCTTCACCTAACACCGCTTTCTGGTCTGTCAAACTTTCCTGCAAAACACATTGACCTCTGCGTTTCCCGGCAGCTGTCCGACTTGGCGAGGCATTCTACGGCAACTGGGGAGGGCCAAAGTTCTCGGAGGTAACCCTGGTTCTGACTCTCCTGGCACCCCGCGGTCTTTGGTCCCGCAGCCTAACCCGCTTGGGGGGAAGGAGTGGAGCGATTTACGGCCGGCTCTCTGGCTCAGGGGCCGGGGGTCAGGGGTCCGAGGTGTTGGAGGTGGAGGAGGGGCACAGCTGCAGATCAATTTGGCCAGATTATTAACGCTGTGCGTGTGAGCCGGCCACGAAAGATCATCTACAGGACGCCCGAGCTCCACACAGCCACCTCTAAATAGGCCCGCTCTAAGGTGTGTGCCACTTTTGGTCGAGCAAAGATACATTATTACAGAATTTGGTTACAAATAGTTTGTCTATTAACCATAAACCGGGTGGGGTCGGGTTGTGGAATCTGTCCTCCATGTTTTGGACCTAGGATGAACATGAAAAATATTCAAGGAATCAGATTCAAAAAATGTAAGGCCAGGTATTGTATACCTGGCCGTATCTGTAATCATACAAAAGGTTTTGTCTTCTAGAGAACTGGAGGTGAAGTGTGCCAGCCCATTGCTGGGCAGTTATCGGTGCTTTAATTTGGAGTTTCCTCTCCTATAACTTAACATCTCAAAAGTAATCCCCAAGACTCATGTCAATGGGCGACCATCTGGGCATTAGCAGCAAGCCTCACTTTGCCGCCTTTATGCCTTCTGAGTTTTCCTGGGATACCATGAAAACTCCCCCCAAAGACTCGGACTCGTCCCCTAAGGAAATGAGACTTGGACTTGACTTGGACTTGCGGGTCCAGAAACTTGGACTTGACTTGGACTCCTGGGCTAGGGACTGGGACTTGACTCAGAGACTTGTGTGCAACTCTGAATATCACTGTATTTATCCCTCTAGAATCCTCTCGGCAACTTCAACCTGAATGCCCTAAGACAGGGGTGCTCACACTTTTTCAGCATGCGAGCTACTTATAAAAGGATCAAGTCAAAATGATCTACCTACTACAAAAATGCAAATCATATATTTCAAAAAATATTCTTTATATCTACAATGTATGTTTATGTACATGCAAAACCGCATGAGCCAATATAGCACAACACAACACAATTACCTATGTACATTTTTTGTCATTACCCGAGTTTACTCTTATGACTTGCACTGAATTGAATCGGCCAGGGATGCATAGTCCGGAAAATTGGTGGTAACTCGCTGACAAGTTTGTCGTGGTTTAGCTTTCCTGAACTGAGCGCGGTTGTTTGCGCATGTGCAGTCACCTAAGTGTCAGTAAAACATTACTGAGTAAAACACAGATGTCATTTGACTGTGGTGCCATGTCCATGTGCCATGCCTGTTTTTTTTAAATCCAAATATTTCCCCTCCTCCTTTTATAATATAACTTGCATCCACACATCTGCGTTATCAATCACATTCGTAACATTCCAAACATGTGCGTCTCTTACGTCCTGTCCTGCGTTGGGGAAAAACACAGAAGTGGGCGGAGCTTTGATGCAGACGCCGGTAACGGCACTTTTACAGTCATAGAAGACACTCAGAGTAAAGACGTATGTTTACAAGCACTGACCCCGTCCTCAGCCCTGGTTTAGTCCTGGTTTAGTCCTGGTTTAGTCCTGGTTTGGTTGTTTTCGAGCGTGAGTCCCCGCGATCACTTTTCTGCTCTCTGATGTGGAGGATGTTTGCTGCTGCGAGCATCTCACAGCGAACAGTTTTTAAGGTAGTATGAGAGGAATTTAGGGGGGTACTGTGGCGTGCGAGAACGCAAAACTCCGGTTATCTCTGTCTACACACAAATGCATTAACGGAGTTTTCAAAAATCTCCACTTTGCCCGGAGTTTTTTGTATATATTCGTTTAGAATGTGTAATTTTTTATTTATTTAATGCGATCTACCAATACTACCTTTGCGATCGACTGGTAGATCGCGATCGACGTATTGAGCACCCCTGCCCTAAGATGATGATAGAGCAGGATTGATAGAACATTGATACATGTTGGCAAGCCTGAGCGGCAAAAAGATTTAGTATATATTTTCCTATTTCCTATTTTAAGGAAAAAGTATAAAAAAGTCTTTTTGAATGTCACCACCCCAAATATGACTTTTCGGAGGTCTGAAATTGGTCCCTGTGCTCCACTTTAGGCACCCCTACTCCAAAATATTTTTATGGTCTGATTATACTTATTATATATTATTATTTGTTCTGTAATTTGTTATGTTATGTCAATATTAACTTTGATGAGAGAAGTTCACTGACTTCTGAAATTACAATTTTCACCTTAGAAAAATTATTCCTGTGTCGAAACTGTTTGATTCTTTGAGCTATTGTTGGTGAATCATCAACTTATCCAAGGCGACTGCTGGTGTCATTTAGGACGTCGTACGAAGTGTTATTGGAATAGCACCACACTGTGACAGCGAGGGTCAAAACAGAAGGTAATTTTTATGTGTAGAAAATGAGACTTGGACTTGACTTGGACTTCCTACCCTGTAGGGAACGCATCCCTTTGGCCCTGGAACAACAAATCCACCCTGTGCCCCTTTACCACGGTCCAGGGGCTTACATGAAAGATGTAACACAAGCAAGGGAGAGTGTGGAAGTACTGTATGTGACTGCTAGGTGGAGACAAGTGCAAAAATTCCCGTCACGGCGGGCGCAGCAGGAAGTCGTAATGTGACGCACAATGTCACGATCCAACACGCCCCCCCCCACCCCCACCACCACTACATCGACACCCCTCATCTGGGCTTTTCAAGTGGGCCTAGGCCCATGTCTCATGTATGAAGCCTGCTCAACCACGGAAGAAGATAGTGTGAGCAGATGAAAAATACTTTGCTGAAAATTATTTTTCATTGTTAAAGCTGCACTAACTCACTTTGTGAAATTTTCGAATGTGAGCGCTGGCCTCGCTCTTCTGCTCCCCCTCCCCGCACTCAAAAAAGCTATTTTTCTTCAAAAGGATGTATATCCCAATGCATTGCATGGATATGGATTGAATTTTTGTAATGAATACAAAAATAAAGTGAGGTAATGCAGCTTTAACCAAAACTGCAGTTTCATGTTTGTCAAATTTTTAGCTTAAGGTGTGCCACAGCTCAAAAAGGTTGGGTCCCTTGTATCTGCTCCACTCACGTGCACGAGCTGATCCTGCGTGTCATACTCCTTGCTGCAGCCTTCCCAGTGGCAGTTGGTCTCGTAGATGGCCTCCGGCTCCTGTTTGCACTCGTCTTTGTCCAGGTCCTCGCTCAGGTCCAGGATCCCCCCTCCATGGTCCTGAAGGCGGAACACAAGATTAATGCCGCCGCAGAAATGACAAATGAAGCCACAAACTAATTAGCCAATACAATGGAGAAACACGCGCTACTACTTAGCATCTCTGTTATCTTATCTCTGCCGCAAATCCTAATGAGCTGTTTCTAGATATCAAAGCAGCCGCAACGCATTGATTTTAAACAGCATTTTTATTTATTACCATCTGATCAATCAGAGAAGCACAAAAGAGGCTGTGGTGTAACAAGGGCTTAATTGATAGCATTTACAAACTTATATGTGCTGGTTAATGTAAGAGTATTACTGGTAAGCCATTGTTCAGGCTTTCAAGGGAAGACGGATGGAGCTAATATTGGCAGGGGTGTCAACGGTTAATCCCAAATAAAAATGGGGTTTTGGTGTTTTTTTTATAAATATATATATATATATATATATATATATATATATATATATATATATATATATACAGTATATATAGCAGACAAAAAACTATTGTAAAGTGGGTGTTTTCATTTTATGCAGCTTTTATGCGTGGAACAATCTACATATACAATAATAATTGAATATTTTGGCATAGTAACCTTGATATATAAAATGGCTTATGAAATTATTAGGATTACAAAATGAATTTGTAATCCTGTTTGAATGCATACCTGAGTGGACGGTGAGATGGGCAAGGGTCCTTCTGCTTCCGTCTTGACCTTCGATCTCTTAGTATTGAGTGGGTTGACTGTGCTGCTTACTGCTGGGTCTCCGCCTGCGTTCTGAGATGAAGAGAGTGGAAAATACAAAGTCAGTGCCAAAATTGCTCCTGGAAAAATGACGGGTAATAGCGTTTTTGGTGTATTCAGACCTAAGTAAGTAAGTAAGTAAGTAAGCTTTATTTATATACCGCCTTTCACAGACCAGAGTCACAAAGCGGTTTACAATTGTTATTTTTTGGGCATTTGTCCTCTCACTCCACACAGAGAGATGGGAGCGGGGTCGCCGAACAGGAGGCGCATGCCAGACCTATTGTACATATTTTTAGTGGTAGGGGAAACCGGAGTACCCGGAGGAAACCTACGCAGACACGGGGAGAACATGCAAACTCCACTCAGAAAGGCCCTGGTCCGGCCGGGATTCGAACCCAGGACCTTCTTGCTGAAAAGTCCTTTGCTCCGCTTGCTTGATCCGAATCAAAAGCGGACCAAACTTTTTTTCTTTTGCTCCGGTTCGTATTCAGACTGTCCTTTTTGCAAGTGAACTTTTTTATATAAACATATTGACACGTGTGATGATCGGCGCTCCTATTGGACAGTGAGAGCTCACGGAGGATAGACCCGGAACCAGCAGAAAACATTGAGGGCTCGTATGTGCAGCATGTCTGCTCTGCCTATGTTTGCTCTTTTTAGAGCAAAACCACCTTCAACATCAACAGCAGCTCATATGACACAGGCGAAACACGTTGTTTTAAATATTGGAACAGCGTCGGAGAATGTGTGAGGAGGAAGCCGAAGGAGACTGTGCGCTACGTGCCCTGTCCCACACATGGATCTATGATAATAACGGCCCTGTTCAGCATTGTGGATAAACCATGGATCTATAATAACCACGGGACAAACAGACGCTGAGGATCAGGTAGGAACCAAAGAACACAATTCACTATATGATGCGGAATATTTCTCTTTGAGACATGAGACAAACAGTTTCAGCCTTTTTATAATGCAAATGGTTTGAAGATGCTGCCATTAACATCACTGTATACTGTGAACAGTTGTAACTCCATAAGCCTGTTGCACAGCGTCTCCTCACTGCTCCAGGTCTGGACACGGCTCATTGTTGTTGTGTAGCGTTAGCAGCATAGTTAGCAGCATAGTTAGCCGCTGCATGGCTAATTCCTCACAGTTTCTGTCTGCGGTGGCTTGTTAAGCCCAAAAAATGCGCACGTATCTTTGAGTTGTGTCGGATCGACACCGGATGTATTCAGACCTGATTCGAGTTTGGAAGCGGACCGAGACCACCCAAAAAAAGTCTCGGTTCGGTTCTTTGGTCCGGACCAGGATTCTTTTGCGTGTATTTCAGACCTGCATAAAAGCTTCGGATCAGAGTTCCAAACGAATCCTGGTCCGTTTAAAGTGGAGCAAATGTGCAGGTCTGAATACACCCTTAATGACAGAGTTTATGCTCTATCTATAAAAGCATGGAACATCTATCTGTCTGTCTGTGAGAAAGACATTCCAGTGATATTGCCTTTCTAAAGCAATTCTAAAAAAGTGGACCTCTAAAAGCTTGGAGACAAAACGTTCGACCCAGCCTGTCCATTGCCTGAATACGCTACTTTGCAAAATAAATTCTTAAACTTGAATAAAATCATGAGAATTACAACTATTTCTATTTTGATTTTATAAAGTGAACCAAGTCTATTGCTCCCAATTGGGCTGCTGCAAAACATCAAAGAGGGATTACTTTAACACACAACTCTCTTTTCTTTTTTTCATTGAACCACTAGGCGAAACCACAAGAATGCCTTTCACTGCAGGAAGCCGCATCAGATAAGAAAATGTGAGCGTCATTTTTATACCGCGGCCGCATTTTCTTGTGGTAGCGGGGGAGTATCGGTCGCACCAGGCACCGCGGCTCATAAGTCAGCCCAAAGACCCGCCGCCGAGACTAAACAATTTAGACTTCTTTACGATCGCCAAAACCACAAGATAATATGAAAAAGTTATTGGTGCTACGCAGGCTTTTGATGGGACGACACAAAACCATAGACGCCGCTCGGCATGGGAAAGAACGGGGGAAGGAGGGGGGACAAGCTGTTGCGGTGGTAGAATTGATCAATTTTTAAGCGTTGAGGTGGGTCTCGAATGCCGTTAAGGCGCATTTGGCTGTGGACCAAAAAAAGGAAATGTGCTCTTGATCAGAGCTGAAAAGCAGCTATTTAACCGTGTCAAAATGTTTGGTTATTATTATGGTTTGTGTCAGGTTAGCATATGGCTTTTAGCGCTGACACAGAGCAGAAGGCAAATGCAAGACGGGGCTGCTCCTGGCATGAGATGTTTACATGGAATAAGGCAAATAGAGTAAACAGTGGGGTTATGAAGAGGAAGTAAAAGAAGCCTTGAGTCATGACTAATAATAGTGGGCTGCAGGATCAGAGCTGGTGGGAAATGTGTGTGATTCCGTTTGTTATATACCAGACTCCCTTGTTTATCACAGAGGGTTACGATCTAAAAATAAGCAAATAAAAAAAATCTGCAAAGAATAAGAAACAAAAAAAATCCAGCATTATGTTTTAAGGCTGTTAAAGCCAAAAGCACACACTTTATACACTTTTCTCACAGAAAAAAAATAAAAATCAACAAAGCTTGAATTAGGAATCCTTTGCTCTGCATGATTGTAGCCAGCTGAGAGACATAGTCCCACCAGTGTGTTGTGGTTCTTAGACTGGGGTCTCCTCGATGGAGGCGACGGGGTGAAACAACGTCTCCACTCTGACTTTCCTTCAAATCATTCAAGTATCATAAGTTATTTTGGAAACTGTATGTGTCATGTAGCTGAATCTCTTCTTCAGTGTTTGTTTGAGTTGACAGACTGTTTCTGTGCTCTAGTCCAGGCAGCGGTCCAGATATATACAGAATAGAGAGTGTACACCAGGGCTAGATCATAGGTCCAGTTCTTTTTAACAAGTCCATGCTCGCGCTTTATGGTGTTATCAAGAGATATGGAATTAGCTTTCACAATTATGCTAATGATGTGCTACCTGGTTGGCTTCGGAGTTAGAGTTATTATGGGATGCCGTCATGGCAGAGGTGAGTTGGTGTTGCCGGGCGGAGTAGGAGGCTGGAGTGGGCTGCATCAGAGGAGGGGTGTGGCCAAAAGCGTTGAGGCCTCTCTGCTGGGACAGTAGTTGCTGGTAGGCCATGGGGTTCATGGGATGAGGAAAGCTGAACGACGGGCTGAGAGCACACAGTCAGGAGTAAATATTAAAGTGTGTATGAGGTGAATTCTGAACTGTTTGAAAAATGAGAAAAAGAGAAATAATAGTGACAATTTTAAAAAATAAAAAAATCTGTCAGTCTATAAACAACTAATATCATGCAGCTTTTCTTAGATTAAAACTTAAAGCTGGGAAACATTGTTTCATAAATAATACATGTGTTTGTTGCAACAGAAAGTCTTGTGATAAAAGTGACATTTTGTGAACAAATCAGACCACAACATAGTGTCTTTAGATGTGACAGAGGACGCATGTGCGAAACGAGATTTAGATGAATACTACTAAATTATTTGCTTTTCTGTGGTTTGAAAGCAGGTACCTCAGCTTTAATAATTGCTGGGCAAATATAAAAAAAATTAAACTTTTCCAACTATTCTTCCGAGTCTATTCGAAGTAATTCCAAGTAATAACTACTTGTAGTGTCCATATGTTAATGGGCATTGGTCATCCCGCTACCTATGGATCAATTGCTCTTGTGTTTGTTATATTGCATTTCCAGTATTCAAACTGTTTAATTCTGTGATCTGTCGTTTGAGAATCGACAACATCGTTAAGTCTCTGAGATAACTGCTGTTGTGATTTACTATTCAAAAATCAATAGAATTGAATGTTTCTTACTCACTTAAATCCCATCCAATGATAAATACAAAAAAACCTTTAGTTCCATAAGCTGTCCCACCTGAGGCCGCCCACAGACAGGTGCCCATAGGAGCTGCTAGCCGCAGAGCTGGAGCGGGAGTTGTTGATGTAAGCCACAAGAGAGTTGGGGGAGGTGCGGATCATGGTCTGCAGGTCGATACTGGCGTCCGACAGAGGGGAGATGGACAAGGCCCTCTTCCGGCTCAGTCGGGGTGTCAGTCGCGGGCTGGAGAATCGCGACACTAACAAAAAAACACAAACGTACAGCTCAAGACATAAACCCATCATATAGCATATGGTTTTGACAATATGCAAACAAGCCATCCCTCCCAAAAGTGAGATTTCTCACTTTTTCCCCTGGTTGGACAGGAGTGACGACATGTATTAACACTTATAGACATTGGTCATCGGGCCTTTATGTGGACCCATGGCTCTATGTGTTTTTTTATTTTTGCATTTACTGTGTTTGAACTGGTTTTGGGCTATACAAAAACAGTATGAATTGAATTAAATGGCCGTTTGCTCATGTGCTTGCAAAGTTGTCGACAGTGACTCCTCCCGAAGTTTGCATTACTTGCTGGTCTTGGCCAATGGACGGTACATTTTGAGGTGAACAAAAGCAGTTGAGTGAACAGTTAGCTGCACCGTTCCTACGGAGGTCACAGCCACAGTGGTCCTCCATATCTCCTGCATCTCTCACACAGCTCTCCTATTTAACATTCACATCCTCTTATGCATAATGAATCGCCCCCGATCATTCTCAGTAATTACTGCGATACAGATCTCCTTCGGACTGCTGTACTCAGGCAAGTTAAATGGAGGCAATTTAAACAAATTGATTTCAGAATAGCATTAAAACAACAACATGGCTGACTTGCAGTGGTATTGGGTTCATGGCCCTGCTTTAGACCTGCCTGGTACGACTAGGGAGCGCAGAGGAGCTGAGAGTGGACTTTGTTGGAGATATGGAGATTTCATTCAAAGGTTTTGTAGTTTAATTTAATATGTCAACATAATTAGGATATACAGTATAAAGTATATAGATCTATAAAAGTTTTTGGGAGCACTTATAAGGGAAATTTAGGGAAATGTAGGGAAATTTGTCTCTTGCATTTGAGCCATCCTTACAATGCCACTGGGTCTCTGTTAGGAGCAGTGGTCGTCGTAGTACAGAGCGCCCAGGACACATCTACAGATGTTCATGCTTTTGTTCACAACCCGAGCTGGAGGATTAGACCTATTGTACATGTTTTAGTGGAAAGACAAATTTGATCACTATTCAGATACAGGAAAACACACAAACTCCACTCAGAAAGGCTGTTTCAACTTGTATTCAAACTCACAGTGCTAACCCCTCAGCCATCTTTGCTCAAGTGTGTGCATGAATGATTGGAGGTGGTCAGAGGGCCGGTGCCGCAGATTAGTCTCATTATAATTTTAATGGCCAAAAATAGTGGCCATTTATTTGGGTCTACTACTCTGCTTGCCAGTCCATCTACCATCGCTTTGCACTCCCCTCCCCTCGAGCCCACGGAGTGACAGCCGAGCCTGGAGGACAGCTGTGAGTGGACAGGCAGCAGGTCCACTTGGCCCCTTAATGAGCTCTTATAGCAGACATCACTTGAGGCGCTGGGGCCCGGAAACTGCTAACGGCCCCCATCACGGCTCACCTACGGAGGCATGCAGCATGACATGACGTGCAAGTTAACAGCATGTCAAGCCCACCACCTCCAATGTGCTCCCCATCTGAACATCTATCACCAGGCTTGAGCGGAGGCCCTTGTAGCCTCTCTCTCTCTCTTTCGCAAACCATACGGAAGGTGGCGAGCAGTAAAGATGGGGACATGTGCGTCTGGTTAAAGGGCCCCCAGGCACAAGCTCAAGTTGAAGAGCTAAGCAGACATTGGTATGAAAGAGTTGGCAAACACAACAAACGTCTGTACAGGAATCTATATAAGCAATAGTGTGCCGTTTGGTGGGAAGGAAATAAAGGTTAAAACAATGGGGGAGCTCCAATTATGAAAACTTCTACTTAAAAACGTTTAAGGTACCAGCGGTTTGGGAAACAAGCCAGGTCTCTTAATGGCAATAAATGACCAGAAAAGACGTAAAAATGATTGCTCGGTACATATTAAATAGAACAAAATTTCCAGTGGGTGAGGGTGAAAGCTTTTGAACGGGCAGGGCATGCAACCAAAAGAAATCATGAAGGCCATAAAAATGGTTCAAACTGTTTTATTTGAAAGACTTGCCACCAAAGAAAGTCACATGTGAGAAATGAAAAAGGGTGGTGAAAACCAAGGAAGGACTCAAAATGCAAGAATGCCAAAGAAAATGATTTAATAAAAGGTGACAAACTCAAGAAACTCAAACACAAGACAGGGTAGGGGATGAGGTGCACAGGCACACAGGTATATACAGAGATATACAGAGATATACATACAGAGAAACACAGATGAAAGACATTAGGGCGGCCAGACAGTAAAACAGGACCAGGAAAGGAAGTAAAACTAAAACAAAACCACAAGAGAACTGATGTCAGAATCCCACAACCCAGGCGCCAAATAACAAAAATCCACACCATGACACATTTCACTAAGATCTTATCCAGTTTCAATACTGTTAAAGCATCTGTCAATAAAAGATACCAGTCCTAACTTGTCGGACAATTTAAACCCTATTAAAGGGTGCATTATGCAATCTTTTGTGTGGAAAAAAAATATGTTTATAATTTTGTGTAATTGTAGTGAGATCAGTGGGAGTAGACTCCCACTGATGACTGCTGTCGTTGTGTCCTTGGGCAAGACATTTAACCCCACTTTGCCCAAAGCCCCCACTGAAAGATCAAGGCTACGCTCACACTCAGAGAGCAGTCGTCCTCCTGTGGACTCACCACCTGCAGAGGATCAGTGAGGGGCTGGTGCTATGAGACTTGGGTGGCATCTCTGATTGCCACCCCCCTGACCCAGAGATGGATTAAAGGGTAGAAAATGGATGGATGGATGGATGGATGTAGTGAGAGTGGTCAGCATGGTGCTATTCATATAATATTGATCCTGGAGCATCCTACAGACCACAGGGATAGAAAGTAAATGCGCCATACGGATCACTCATAGTGACTAAAAGGTCCAATATCCAAAAATATAAACACATTTTTTCTCACATAAACCCTTTAATTGGACAAATAAAAGTAGTAGCCAGTAGTTAAAGTATTTTATGTTTGTACAGATTCCCATCACTTCCCTGGACCTGTGTTTTTGTGTTGGATTTAGCTATATGGATTTCATAATTATTTGTTCATTTTTATGGCTTAAAAGTCAGGTACCCAGCTTGACTGCTGAAATATCAAGAACTTCTCTTCTGCATTACTATGTCCCTACAAATGGGTCATGCAGCTGCCCAAACTTGCTTTTTTTGCCTAGAGAAGCTGCCAGCAGATTTTAATGGCTGATAGCTCGCATTAATAATATTCCCCCTTTCACAGAGCAGGAAACAGGCCTGGTGGCACTGCTTCTCCTGGCGCCTACCTCACCCCTCATGGCAACGCGCCCAAAAACACCGCCCACCTTTACAGTGCACGCTAGGAATTCTCAGCGCCCGCAGCCAATGAAGCTATCCCAAGATACGCTCCTCTTTCATTAGCTTTTGTTTACCAAGATGGAAGCTGTTGTCTATTTACCTGGCTTCACACAGCGCATGGCAACCAAGTGTTTTATTGGTGGCGCTCCTAATTGAAAGGGGTTGAGCAGGTTCCGGCACGGAGTGAGAAAACAGATGTTGCCCAGGCCATCGCGGCGCACCAGTGTGCGGTAATATCACAAAGATCTTGGGCTGGTTATAATTGTGGAATCTGAATTCATGCAATCATAATTAAAGATGCAGGGGACGGGCATTGATACAGTAAAGAAATATATTAAAAACCGGGCCCAGAGCGTGTGTGTATGCGTGTGCTTGTCATTATTTTCCAAAGGTTTTGCTAGAGTCGTGCTGTTTTAAAATGAAACAGCTTTTGTGGAAAAATAAAAACATTTTAATTGAAGGGTTGCGCTAATCTCTGGAAAGCTAAGTGTGACCCTGGCCCGGAGCAAATTTAAGACAGCAGTAATGCACTGTGAAGTTTGTAACCTTTGTAAAACCTTTTGTAATGCTAAAATCACCCCTAAGAATATGTTGTTATAAGTAATTACTGCTCGCTAAAAATGCTAGTGTTTTTCTCCCGAGTGCTATGTCTTTTCATCTTAGAATTGCAGACTAAATGGTGAGCTTTTTGTGCACGTTTTGTTTTGAAAAAGCAACAGTGTACGTCTGCGACAGTATAGTGAAATCAACATTGAGAAAACTATGTAAACTAGTATTAGAAGCAGAAACCCTTCAGAAGTTTGTATTCATGTTAGGGTTTCTATAAGAAAATGGGAGAAAATCACAATTATGAAGTTGCAAACAGCTAATTTTTGTAATTTTTTTCTTGGAGAAAGTTACAATTGCATAGTCCTTTTCTTCCTGACCATGATGTCAAAACACCTGGCTCTAAAAGTTGTATAAACCCTTTATTTAATTTGACTTTTTGTTTAATTGAATGTCTTTATTGGAATGGGACAGTGTGGGCATCATGAAAAGCAGGTGCTGTAAAAACACAGTATAAGACCTTGGGCGACATTATCTATTTTTCACACACTTATTCAGCCTGAACTATTATACACGTCTTTAGTGAGAAGGGAAACCGGAGCACCTTGGAGGAAACCTACACAGGTGCAGGGAGAACTCAATTTTCTCTCTGGAACTCAATGTTCTCTCTGGAGTTAACTCATGTCAACTCCAGAGAGAGCGGCTTTATCTGGCCCAAGAAAATTGTTAAAGACCTTGTTGCTGTGTGCTATGTCGTGGACGTGAGAAATAACTGCAATAATAACTCTGAAAACAGTTCATTATTAATTTTAACACCATTTATTAAAAAAATCACTGATAAACAATGACAATAAAACCACCACTGTCTCTCTTCACTGATTTCATGTCTGTGGATGACCGAGTGTTGATGTCACCAAAGTCTTTGCTGAATGCGGAAGAAGCCAATTTGAACATAAACTAAGGCCCCATTTAGATTGAAACACTGCGGCAGCAAAGCGGGATAGTTGGGTGTCGGTTGCCACCTCCCCTCTACATGGAGACTGTTCAAGGAGGGTGAAAACGTAAGCGTCGAGAACCAGCCTACAGAGTGGAACAGCTCAGATATACTGCTCACAGT